ATATACATGGTATGTAAGGTAATACTTGTGCAAATTATCTTGATAGTGGTAGTCATTTCACAGTGTATATTACATCAGTTCATCATGTACATCTCATACATGTGTATCAAGTATATATATATATGTATATATATATATCTCCATACCTGATACTAATGGCTTCTTACAGTCTCTCTGTAATTTACCATTCTCATTACTCTCTTACTTCTCCATTTTTACAAACTCTATGGTTTAGGGAAAATCTGCCATACCGGGAATGTGTGTTACAAGTTTCTACATCTGCTTCTTATTTTTCATGGTATTTTTTCTACCTAGAAGACACTTTCGTTCACCTATGAATATGCAAAAATTACCCATTATTCTGTTAAAATTATGACTTCTTGACTATGCCTGCTCTCAGTTTCCATCCAAAGTAATTTCTATCCTGTTGAACTTCTAGGGAACTGTGAATCTATCTTGCTTATCAGTGATTTGTGTAAATGTAACTTCCCTCTCAAACTATGTGGAGGTTAAATTAAAAAGCATCTAATATAGGCTCTAGCAAATGTGTACCCTGCCCTTAAGTACTTATTAAGTGTCTAGTGAATGAGTAAATGAATTATAGAACAAGTTTATCATTTGAAGGCATTATTTATTTTCTGAAACCATTTATAGTTATCTTCTCATTCTAATATAATTTAAAACCTTTTCCAATTTCAGAGCCTAAAATTGCTGTGTAATGTTGCTTCTTACATATTAACAAAAGTGCTAGACTATAAGATAATCACAAGAGTTATAAAACACCCTGTGGTATTCACCTACCTTCCATTTGGGCCCCCAGATTTCTCTCTCTTCTCTGTCTCTGTTTCTGTCTCTGTCTCTCTCTCTCTATTTTGAGTGGGGAGATCTTTTTCAAATGGATGGGAGGACAAGAAAAGGAGGGAATAGAGAAGGAGGAGAGGGAAAGAGGGTGGAAAAAAAGAATTGGAGGAACAAAGATGAAAATAAAGCTTTTGCAAATGGGAAGAGGACCAAGAGTTTGAAGGAGTGGGGACATGATGGGTAGGGGACAAAAAGAAAGAAAGAAAGAAAGAAAGAAAGAAAGAAAAAGGGAGAGAAAATTAAGATATATTATGTACATGTACCCATGAGAAATGTAATCATTATGTACTGCAAACATGTAATATTTAAAAAAATACCCTGTGATAGTTAAACTGGATTAATAGTATGATTGGCTTGTGAGCCAGCTAAGGAATTTGTAAAGCATACTTCTGGGTGGGTAATGGTGGCATGACCTTTGGTACTATATCTGCTTCCTGACCCTTTTCTTTTCAGTCCTATTCCTCTGTTATGCTTTTTTGGCTACCACAAACTGAGCAGCTTTGCTCCACCATGCCCTGTTGCTATGAAGTTTCTGCCTTGGAGCCAGCTTTCTATGGACTGAATACCATGAAATTGCAAGCCAAATTAAATTTATCCTTCTGTAAGTTGTAGG